GAAAACAAACGAACCAACAAAAACCCCAGTGCTCATTAGTAGTCACTTTCCATACTCACTCTTGGGGCTCTGCTCCCGCACCAGTAATCTACTTTCTGTCTCCATAGATTTGCCTTTAGTGAACTTCTTTTCCTCTTAAATATTGGAAATAAAACCCAGGAGGCACTGAGCTATATCCTCAGCCTTTTTCATTTTATTTAGGGGCAGAGTCTCATTGCACAGGCTGGTCTCAAACTTGTAAACCTCCACCTCAGTGTCCTGAATATCTGGGAGTAGGGGGAGTCTACCACCATGCCCAACTCTGACTGCCTTTTTTATTACTATAATGTTTTCATGGTTTTCCCACATTTTAGCATTTCCCTTTATGACGAAGAAGATCTCCCATTGTATGAAAAGATCATATTTTATTTATCCATTCATCAGCTGATGAATACTTGAGTTGTTTCTCCTTTTTGGCTATGAACAGAGAACAATGAGAGTATAGACAATAAGGCTGCTAGGAACATTTGTGCACATACATTTTTGTCTTTGTTATAAATTTTTGTCTTTTTGAGACAGGGTCTTGCTATGCAGTTCAGGCTGGCCTCGAGCTCACTTTGGAGCCCAGGCTGGTCTTGAACTCATAACAATTACAGATGTGCACCACTATGTCCAGCTTTGTGTACATATTTTTGAGTGGATGTATATTTTTGTTTCCCTTAAGTTTGAACCAATGAGTGAAATTGCTGGGTCTTATGATAACTTTTTGTTTTCTAGTTTGAGAAACTACACATTTGTTTTCCATAGAGGCTACATCATTTGACATTCCCATGAGCAGCAGAGGTTTCCAATTTCTCCACATCTTTGAAACACCTGTTATTTCCTGTTTTTTTACAATTCCCTATTTTTTAAAAAATGGCCTTCCTAGGTAGGTCTACACCCATTGTTCTTTATGGTTCAGAATTACATTTTCCTGATGGCGAATGATATCAAGCATCTTTTCATGGGCTTGTGAGACATTTGTGTCTCTTTCTTAGAAAAATTAGTGTTCCCCTCCCCTTTATTTGGTACTGGGGACTGAATCCAGGTTCATATTAGAGAAGCACTCTACCATGAAGCTTTATCCTCAGTCCTTTTGCCCATTTTTAGGTTGGGTACAGTTTTTCTTGAATAGTTACCATAGACTAAGGAGGGAGTGCTAAGCAAAAAGAAAGAGCTTCTCTGGGAGCAGCCATGCAGATACTGGAATATTGCAGTACCAGGAAGACAAAGAGGAAGTGTAACCCTGGACCCAGGAGATCTGAAGCAAGAATTGAAGCCCACGAGGAGAGCAAAGAGACAAACTTCAGTGAATACGGAGATAGCCTGAGTTGGGATTCACCGTGTGGGAGCAGTTCAGACTTTGAGACACACAGTGACTACTGGGAATACCAGAGGCCTCCACCGACAGATGCAGCGGTGGAAAGGAGTGGTGGACATGATGACTGCACTAGCTGGGGTGAGTGCTGAGGGCTCTGTCATTCCGGGGGAGAGAACAGTTGACTGGGAGCCATCATGGAGAGGGACTAACTGACCTCAGAACTCAGAACTCAGGACAACTGCTGGGTCCATGCAGAAGCTCCCAGCTAAGTTCAAGCTCACAGAAGGTGTCCTGATTGCTGCAGGTTGAAAGGGTCTGATTTTTGCTCCCAGAGCCACAACACAGCCTGAACTTTGGGGGAAATAAAGGTGTAGATTTGCTGAGGTTATTCACTACCCTGCCATAAAACAACTGCTGGCTTGCTGGGATAAATCAACACAGATCTGGATTCTATCTCCATGTGGTGTCTACCAGTGACAGTGGAAACAAACCAGGAAGTGGGCATCTTTTTCTTTTTCTTTTTTTTCCCTCTCTCTCATTGATTTTTTGTTGTGGTGGTGGTATTTTTTTCTCCTTCATTGTTTGATCTTGTTTATATATGAGTGTGAATGTGGTTTCAAGCCTGTGTGAGGTTGTTCTCATGTTCTTTTATTTCTTCTCTTTTTTCTTCCTGTCTTCTGTACCAGTTTCCCAAAGTGAGTATGATGGCCCTTTGTCCTCCATCCTTAATTCTTATCACTTTCCTTTTTTCTATTCTATTTTGTCCTAACCACTTTAAAATTTTTAACCACGATACATAAAATTGATGTATTAAGGACTTATATACTGCATATAATTTTCTGACTTGTTTTAGATTTTGCTATATAACCACAAATCTATTTCATATGGTTAAAGGTGGCAGTTCAGTTCAGAATAGCAAAGGCAATCCTGGGCAACAAAGACAAGACAGGAGGTTTCACAACCCCTGACTTGAAAATATCCTATAAGGCTACCATGATAAAAACTGCATGGCAAAAAAAGAAAAATAAAGATCAGTGGAACAGGTTAGAAGATGCAGAAACAACTCCAGACCCACTAAGCCACCTTATCTTTGATAAAGGTGTCAAACACATTCACTGGAAAAAAGATAGCCCTTCTAAATGGTGCTGGAAAAACTAGCTCTACACATATCAAAGATTAAAAATGGACCCATATCTTTCACCATGTACTAAGCTTTTGACTTTGAGTGAATCAAAGATCTTAATACTAAAGCAGAAACATTAAATCTGCTGGAAGATAGAGTAGGTAAAACTCTTGAAGTCATGTAAGCAAAGACCATGTACAAAACCCCATTTAAGAATTAAGAACATAAAAGAAGAAGTAGGGACACAAACAAATGAACTACAAAGGCTATTCACAGGAATAATCCAGGAGAATTTCCCTAATTTAGCAAAAGGTAAAGATACTCAGATGTATGAGGCATACAGGACCCCAGCTACCTACAACCCAAACAGAACTACACCCAGGCATATAATAATCAAAATTCCAGAAATCCAATATAAGAACAGAATATTAAAAGTCATCAAAGACAAGAAACAGATCACTTACAAGGGAACACCCATCAGAATTACAGCAGACTTCTCGGCACAAACCATCAAATCACGAAGAGCGTGGGGGGAAATAATTCAAGCTTTGAAAGATAATAACCTCCAGCCAAGATTAATATATCCTGTACAACTGTCCCTAGAGATTGATGGAAAAAACAAGGTGCTTCCAGGATAAAGAGGAACTAGGGGAATTTGCAACCACCAATTCAACTCTACAGAGAATACTGCAGGATATTCTAAAAATGAAAAATACCAAGATTCCAGAAACAGTGGCAGAGAGGCCACAATGAATGGAGCAGAAAGCGAAATGAAGAAGACAAACTGACAAGTAACGACCGAAAAAGAGCTCAACAGAAATGAGGCAGAGAAGGTTGGATGGTAGGAACAGCTATTTTGGAGAAAACAAGACATCATAATAGCTAGTGCTGATTCATTATCATCTTGTTTTGAAGTCCCATCAAGCTTTTGTTCTTCTGTCTCCATCAGTCTTAACATGTTGTATCTTATTGGATTTTATTCTATGTGATAATATAAACAAAAACTTTTATAGACAAGGAGGTTATACATTTTCTGTTAGCTGATTCTAAATATCCTATAATACTGTCATTCTCTTGAATGGTTTTACATTGTCTTGATATGTTTGGTGCTGCAGTATACGAAGTTATACTCAAAGATTTCAAGGAAAGAAACACTATGGTAACTACTTTTATGTCAGGATATCTTGTGGTGAAACACTATTTTGCTTAAATGGTTATGTTTTGACCTGCGCTATTTTGTTGTTATGCCCTCTTTTATCTCAATCTCCTTTTTTTATTATTTACTTTTTTATCTTTTTAATTAAGGGAAAAATAAATAAAAAATAGCAGGATATATTATAGTAACCCGCTTTGATTTCCTATTAACTTGATTTGAAACCCTGTATAGCCCTCACCATCTTGCTTTGACTGATTTTCCTCTATTCTGTTTTGCTTGATACTACCAAGTTCAAGAGTATAGGCAACAACTGTGAAGACAATAAGATTCATTATGACGCCCATTCTGGTTGGCTATTATCTTCTTTTGAAGTCCTGTAATGTCTCCAGTGTTTTGGTTTTATTGGTTTTGTTCTTTACTGTTTTGTGCAATTTTATTATAACTGATGATATAGGCAATTCTTTTTAAGATAGCAGGAGGCATTTTGGTAACCATTGTTGATCACCTTGTATTTTGTTTTTACATTATGTATTATGTCCATCCTTTTGATTTGACTGACTCTGTTCTGTTATGTCACATTTGGTTTTACTCTCTTCAAAAAAAGTAATAAGAATGGTGGGAGTAATAAATCCCAAAATATGTTATTGTCATTGTACAAAAGAGAGGAAAAGAAAGTTCTCTAAAGGATATAACTGCGTGTATATTTAAGTGTATAAGATAGATAACCATATTACTGAGTTTTGTTGGATCATTGAACAGAACTGTTTGCAGTCTCACTGTTTGAATGTCTACTTTATATGCTTTAAGTTTGTAACTTCAACAACTATTTCTAAGATGACTATATGTAATCTATTAACTAGTGATTTCCTACTGTTTATTTTTTCTGAAATTCTTTATAACTTGTACCCTTTTTCTGTTTTTTTCTTTTTCTCCTTAAATAAAATTTTTTTAAAAAGAAAATTTTTTTGTAGTTTCTTTGTTTGTTTTATACTTTAAATAAAATGGATTTGGAAAAAAAATACCCTCCTGAACAACCAGTGGGTCACAGATGACATTAAAGAAGAAATTAGAAAGTTTCTACAATTAAATCATAATGACAACATAACATACCGGAATTTATGGGACACAATAAAAGCAGTCCTAACTGTGAAATTTGTATCAGTGAATACCCATATCAAGAAAACAGAGCAAGCACAAATAAACAACTTAATGTTGACCTTCAAACTTCTAGGAGAAAAAGAGCAGGTCAAGCTCAAAGTTCATATGAGGGAGGAAAGTATAAAGATCAGAGCACAAATTAATGCATTGGAGACTAAAAAAAATTTCAAAGAATCAATGCATCAAAGAGTTTATTCTATGAAAGATTAAATAAAATCAATATATCATCAGGTGGGTTAATCTTTACGTTCCTCCTTTTGGAAGGCAGATAGAATATGATTGGAGTACTGCATGACATGTGATTAATATATTGTGTAATCAGGACTTGCAACACCCTGATTACTCCTAATTCTAATAAATAAATAATAAAATAAAATCAGCAAGCCCTTAACCAACCTTATCAAAAAATAAAAATAAAAAATAAAAGGGAAAGAGTCAAATCCATGTAACTATGAATGAAGAGTGCAATCACAGCAGATCCTGCAGAAATCCAGAAGATCACGTATACTAACTTTTTTTTTTGTCTTTTCAAGACAGGGTCTCCTATGCCGCTCAGGCTGGCTTTGAGCTCACTCTGTAGCCTAGGCTGGTGTCAAATTTGCAATGATCCTTTTGCCTCAGCCTCCTAAGTGCTGGGATTTCAGGCATGTGCCACCACATCTGGCTTCATCTATCCCTACTTTGAGAAACTGTATTCTAATAAGATGGAAAATGTAGAAGAAGTGGACAGATTCCTACATAGATCTGAATTACCAAAGCTGAATCAAGAAGATATAAAAAAGTCTAAACGCAAGCAGCAAATAAATATATGAAAAAATGTTCAACATCAATACTCATTTAACAGTGCTGCTTTTAAGTGTTTTTTTTTTTTTTTCCATTTTCAGTACCAGAGATCAAACCCACAACCTTGCACTTACCAGGTAAGCGCTTGAACCACTGAGCTAAAACCCCAACCCTTCAATGGTCATTTAAGAAGATGCAAATTAAAATAAGATTTCATCTCACCACAGAAAGAAAGGCTACTATCAAGAAATCAACCAATAACAAATGCTAGTGGGGCTGTGGGGAAAAAGGAAACCTTGTCCACTGTTGGTGGGAGTGCAGACTGGTGCAATTATTGTGAAAATCAGAGTGGAGAGCCGGGCGTGGTGGCTCATGCCTGTAATCCCAGCACTCGGGAGGCTGAGGCAGGAGGATCATTGTGAGTTCGAGACCAGCCTGGGCTCCAAAGTGAGCTCAAGGCCAGCCTGAACTGCACAATGAGATCCTGTCTCAAAAAAAAAAAAAAAAAAAAATCAGAGTGGAGATTCTTCAAAAATCTAGGACTAGAAGTTCCCTTTGACCCAGCCATTCCCCTGCTAGGTATCTTCATAAAAGAATTCAAAGCATCATAGCACAGTGACACATGCACACCCATATTTATAGCAGCACAGGTTTAAAGATCCAAATCTTGGAAATAACCCAAGTGCCCATCAACTGGTGAATGGATAAAGAAGAGATGGAGTTTTTTATACAATTGAGTACTACTCTGCCATAAAGAAGGATACACTTGAGACATTTCTAGGCAAATGGATGTACCTTGAATCCATACTCCTAAGTAAAATGAATTGGACACAGATGTGTGAGTACTGCATTGTTTTTCTGGTATAAAACTAAAACTGAAAGTATGAATAAGGGCTCAAATGTATTTTGAAATAGGAGGAAAATGTTCAAATGGGGAGGGAAATAAAAGAGAGGGGAGGGGAAAGTAAAAGACAGTTGGAAAAGAAGGACCCCCCGCCCCGGGTCTTTTAGAGACAGGGTTTCACTATGTAGTTCAGGCCTCCTTTTGCCTCAGCCTCCCAAGTGCTGGGATTATTGGCCTGTGCCACCACAGCTGGTGCATGACTGTTTCTTAGTACACGGCCTTGGCCATCCCCTTTGGATCTTGGTTGTCCTACTTAGAGAATTTGGAAGGATTTCCTAGCTAATTCCCAGGTTTGCTTTGAGCCGTGTATGTCAAACCTTAGTAGACTTGGTAAGTGCTCAGCAAATATCATCCATAATAGGAACAACATTAATCCTCACTGAAGTCTTCCAGTTTTATTACGGTATGCATCGGTGGTCCTGTTTAATCTACTCGGCCACGTTACTAAATAGTTATCACCATCTCCATTTTACCAAGGGAGAAACTGAGGAAATGTGTCCAGGCCTGCACAGCATGTAGGGGGCAGAGCCTTCCTTCCCACTCAGGCCTGCCCGGCTCCCCATATTAGCTTCAGTCAGGTGTTCAGCCCAAATTTGTCACCTCTTGTATTTCCGCTATTCTACTACAACTGTGATTAAGCAAGTCCTGTCAGAAATGAGTCAGAGACAGCCCAGATAATTGAATCATCAACACCTTAATCAGAGAGAGAAAAGTTGTATTTCCCTGGAGAAGAATGCAGCTCGTCTCATTTGGGGCTCGCGTTTGAGGTCAGGGAACTGTTAGCAGTCTCGTGCTCTCCCTCTTCAGCCCAGTTTTCTGAGTGCATCACAGAAATGACTGGAAAACTGACTTAGTCTTGCTCATCTTCAGGAGCCATCATTGAGGATTTCAGTGTAGTTCTCTAGAGCGACATTGGGTGTCACCTGTGCGTTGTTGGAAGCCAGTCTTCCTGGAGGTTGCATGTTGCTTTCCTGAGTTCCCAGATTCCAGGATTCAGCTTGGAGGTACACTCAGTACCAGGACTCTGCTCCCCACCCAGCCTCACTGTCCCTGCAGTCCGATGATTTGAAGATGGGTTCCGAAGGCTTTGCGAATGACTTCTTTGCAGAAAGGAGGAGCTCATACAGGAGAGAAGGTTTACACAAAGTTCCTACCAGCTTGGGGTCCTTTCTCCCAGAATTTTCTGCACTCTATCCCCACGTCTGTGTCAACAATAGGTTGTAAACAACTGTGAGCAATTTGAGTACAGGGACTATTATTTGTATATTTCTTTTTCCTTCCATAAATATATATTGGGTACTTTTTATTGCCAAACACTGTGCATATAACAGAGAACAAAACAGAAAAGTGCTCATTTTTCCTGGAACTTCCATTCCAATTTCTTATTTATCTGTGTTTTTCTCAGCACTTAACACATGATAGGTATTTAGCTACTGCTTTGACGGCTTGGTGAATACACTCTTCTCTTTCAATTTTCTTTGCATTTCTTTTGCATAATATTTAAATTTTACATGTCTAGAGGATCATATTTTAATGCTATTCTGTGATGATCTCCCTTTCCCCATTGGTAGTATATTATAGCCATCTTTCCGTGTCAGAGCTTGTGTTTACACATCCTAGCATGGTGTTTGGAGTCTCTCTACTACTGAAAAGGCTGTCCTGGCCTCAAAGTTCCACCCCCTTGGGTCCCCAGGGTTGGCAATTGAGACTGGGCTGGCAACTCCTGTTCTCCTGACTGCTTCTGGTCCCTGTTCACGTGTCTGCTGAATTTATTTATTCCATCACAATTCATTAAACCATCTTCCACTGACTTTTATGTTCTAACATACAGAAATGGATATAATGCACTGTCAAACTGGGAGGCAGTGTCACGGTCCCATTTGGAGGCGATTTCTAGCCTTTTAAACAATGCCACAGGGCCGGGGATATAGCTCAGCGGCACAGTGCCTGCCTGTCAGGCATAAGTTTGTGAGTTCAACTCCCCAGTGTCAAAAAGAAACAAAATAATGCTGTAATCCTCACCTTACTCAGCCTTTGTTTTGTGCCTATTAAATAAATTGCTAAAAGTGGCATTGCTGAGTCCACATGGTAATAGATTTTATTAAATTCTCTCCACAGAGGTTGTGTTAAGTTTTATTCATGTTAGAGCATGAACTGATCTTTTTAAATTGTGCCAACACACTTTTCTCCTTTGTATTCTTCTTTTTAATCTTTTTTTTTTCATATTCTTTAAGTATTGGACTATTGTGTGTGTAAATCATCTGAGGAAGCTTTCTCTGTTAGGAGAAATTACTCCTTTGTAATTTGAAATGCAAATGTTTTTCTTAGTTTATTATTTACTTTCACATCATCTTTTTAAATGCTTGCCACCAAACGGGCATATCATTATTTTATTTATCTTTTGAGGGGGGGACCAGGGATCAAACTCATGACCTCCCCCTTGCCAGGCAGGCACTTGTGCCACTAAGCTGTATCTTGTTATCTTGAGCACTGTATCATTTTATTTTTTTGTATCATTATTTTAAAGCAGCCCTATATACCAGTCATTTTGGTTGCTAGCCCCCAAGTGCTGGGATTTCAGGCATATGCCACCACACCCAGCACAAAATTTTTATTTGTGAGATAGGGTCTCACTAAGTAGCCCAGAGTGGGTTTGCATTTGCAATTCTCCTGCCTCCGCCAGCTTCCTACTGATGCGATTATAGGCTACCACACCATTACTGCTTAAGTATTGGATATTATGCTTTTTAAAACTTTAGTTTTTTAAAAGAAGAAATTTGTGGGGCTGGGGATTTAGCTCAGCAGCATAAGCACCTGCCTTGGAAGCACACGGTCGTGAGTTCGATCCCTGGTACCGATAAAAAGGAAAAAGACAAAAAAAAAAAAAAAAAAAAAAAAAAGAAGAAATTTGTATTGGTTAAGAGAAAAAATTCCCCACATACCAGCTGTCCATTAACTCAGGCTGAACTTGTCTAATTTTTGCTCCTCCCATTTGTTAATTTTTCTCTTTTATTTAGAAGCTAATCACTTCATCCAAAAACATTTCAGGGTTTAGAGAGATGAGATCTTTGAGGAATTTGCCATGTGTCCTCCCAGTTCTTCCTGACAGTGGCAGTGGAAAGAGATCCAGTGACACTGGGAAGTCCCCCGCCGTGGGAGGCAAATGTTTAATCCCATTCCATGTTTGTTGTATGATGCTTACTCTTATTTTGCAGGCAAGAAAAAGGGGTCTCCTGTCATCCTCTTCTGAAAAGTCCCCACAGGTCCAAAATCTCTGCTTCAATCATACATTGTTGCTTATTTTTTACATTACTCCAAAGGCAGGCAGGAAACTGCCATCCATTTGGGAATCACGTGACTCCTTCCTTCTGCACCCTTTTGTTCAGTTGTTGCTTTCATGACTAAGACCATGCTGATGCGCACTTCTCTCGTGCACTCTTATCTTTTAAAAAATTAGTTTCTTTTATAATTAATTAGTTTCATAATTGACAGATGATAATTGTACATCTTTGTGGGGTACAATGTATTAGTCTGATATATCACATCATAATTAGGATATTTATACATTAGGATATTTATACATTATCTCAAGCATTTATCATTGTTTTTGTAAAGAGAACATGTAGAATGCATGCCTATAACCCAGTTACTTGGGAGGCTGAGGAAGAG